CCCACAAGCTCTCATTTCTTCCTCACACCATCTCCTCAATGTCACCCTCACCGCGGACACCTAACTCGTCGTTTCCCATCTGGGTTCCACTCGAGTACCTGACCTGGCTCGTGATGTCCACAGTCAGCCTTCTCAGTGTATGCCCAATCAATCTCCACTTACTTCCACTGCATATTTGTCCAGTCATAGATTCTTGCTTTGTTGGTTCGTTGCCAGACAGTCAGAGTTCCTTGTTGCTTGTTCTCATTATTCTGGCCATCTGAGCTTGAGTAAGGAGTGAGCGTAGGTGGCAGTTGTTGATGAATGTCTGCAGTTTGTTGGAGATGCTTTTAGTAACGCTGCAAGTCTCTGAACCATACAGAAGCACTGACTTGAATGGATTAGTGTTGAAAATCCGGATGTTGTTCCACATGCTGAGTGCAGATCTCCACATTGGTTTCAGGTTAATGAACACCTGTCTGGCTTTTCCGATGGTGGCTGGCTTTGACATCCTCGTCTGTGCGTGTGTCACCTGTAGTTGAAACAGTGGTGGGTAGATAGGTGAAAGAGGCTACTTCTTTTAAGTTTCTCCCGTTGATGGTGATTGGTGTTTGTTGTTGTTGGGTATCTTCATTACCTCTGTTTTCTCTACGTTCACTTGAAGTGCCATTTTCGCTGCCTCGCCTTTTTTGTCAACTTGTTATTTTTCGCGTGTATATCTTCGAGTTTGTGTGATATTAGACATAAGTCATCGTTGGCGAAATCCAAATTTCCTAGGTTCTTTTGTGCGGTGCAGTGTATCCCCCACTTCTCGCTCCTCACTGTCTGTTGCATGATCCAGTCCACTACAATCAGGAATATGATGGGTGATAGTAGTTGGCAGCCTTGTCTTGCTCCTTATTGTCTTAACTTCAAAGGCGTCACTGAGCTTCCCATTATGAATTACTTTATCTATTTTAGTCTAAGCATTCTACCAGCTTCTGGATAACGCTTAACTTGTATGTGTATGTATGTGTCCTAACCAACAATGATAAACCGAATACTTTGTACAGAATTTATTTCATATCGTAGAAATTCTGGTGTCATATTATTTGAGTCATGAGTGTCATTGGTTCCGTTAAATTTGCGGATACATCTTCCTGATGGGTACCAATGTGCAAAAAAATCTAGGCTTAGGACTTTGTGACACCAATCTATAACTATTTAACATCAATCGATGTGCTCTGTGATGTTTAATCTCTCTTGAGTTTGTGACTCTATCACAAAGTATCCGATAGAACTCAGTCGGCACTAAGGCGAAGGCAGTTAATTATGTGAAGTCTTTTCACACCTTTCAACGATATAAAGATTTTTCCTAACGATGTGTCTGAACAGAGACAGCCGATGTACAGTAGTACCCTTAACGTTTGAGTGGTGTCCGGCTAACAAGAGGAGAGATTCAGCAAAAATTAAGTGAGACTATTTTAAAATATGTTGCCGAAATTTGACCATTAACTAAACTACATAAACTAATACGAATTTATAATGGGTGATGATTCAAGATGAATGGAAAATTTGGACCTCGACCAGATTCAAAACAGCGATCACAGGGATTCCGACCCGATGCTCTGTCAACTGGACTTGATTACCATATGAATTCGTGATACGTTGGTAAAAATCTGATCAGCAGTCAGGCATCGTAGTTCACTTAGTAAAGCATCCGACTGGAAACCTGGTGATCGATGGTTCAAATCCGTCCGCTGTTTAAATTTTCATCCCACCTTCATTCATCACCAGATCGTGGCTATCTCAGTGGAAATGTTAATACAAACTCACATGTATCAATAGTGGGTTTGTTAAAAAGGTGTAATACTGGTACAACATCATATTAGCCTGATATTTGAGAAAGAAAATGACTGTTGACTTGCATTTCTTGATATACTGTTGTGTTGGTGAGAAGATGCATCTATCAGACGATTGATCTATAGAAAGCCTACTTGTAGAGAATAGTACTTGAGTTTCTACAGGTTTTCTTTTTTTCTAAGGAAATATAACAGTGATCTAGCGAAGTGTTTATTTGTACATATGATAGAATGTATGATGAGAGTAAATTTGTGACAGATACACTTGAGGAGAAGGGATATGCATTAGAGTTTGTGAATTGTTGTAGGAAACAGGTAACGTGGAAGCGTATAATCTGCTCAATGCCGAAGAAGGAAGGATATCTCTGTTAAAGTATAAATAGAGATGGGATGTGAGTAGTGTGACATTGGAGTAGATATTGAAATCAGTAATCAGTAGAGGATACTATACTATACAGGTCATGTTGTGATTGTTGAGACAGGAGAATGCCTTGTTTAGCAGTAGAGTTAGCCTGGTTTAGAATATTATATCACAGCGTAGTGTTACTGGTTGATGATAGAAGAATTGAGTGGGTGGGGTGGTGGTGGTATTCGAACCAGCCACGACAGGTATGTATTCCGACTTGGTGCTGTGGTAATTGAGTTACGATGCCTGACTGTTGACTAGATTTTTACTTCACTTCAATCACTAAGGGTTGTTTTTCCTGACTACTATGTCGATTGATGATGCATTACTAGGAATCTGGTCAGCAGTTGAGCCTCGTAGCTTAGTCGGTAGAATGCCAGTTAGGAAACCCGATGATCACTGGCTCGAATCCCGTCGTGGTCGAAATTTTCACTTCACTTTTAATCATCACCTGTCTGAGTGAGATAACCCTGGTTTGGCAGTCTACGATTGATTAATAGGTGATATTTGAAGGTGAAATGAAAGTTGGGGCTGCGGTGGCGGTGGTCTCTTGTTCATTTGGGCGCCCGTGGTCTAGTTTGAACTTAGTAGGATTGAACTCGTGACCTTCAGGTTCCCGTGGCCAATATGTTACCATTGAGTTAGCCATTCGGTCGGTTTCCATTGGTGACTAACTTCAAGAGATGATACCTGAAGTTCCTATGAGAAGTCCTGACTAGTAGGGAAAACCTGGTGGTCATAAGGAGAAATACCCAACAATGACATTGGGTGATGGTTGCTGTATGTCGTGAACTGACAAAAGTTGAATAAATGGACCATTGGATTCCCATCCATTGGCTAGCTCAATGGTAACGTGCTGATCACGGAACCTGAAGGTCGTGGGTTTGAAACCTGGAGGGTGGGGTTATAGGTGCGTATTGCTGAGGAGTCAGACGAAACAGCTATCCAATTCTCTAAGGTTTCCATTGTTTCTCCCACTGATGTCAGTCCATCATGAAAACCAACTTAAAATACCTCTAAATCCTTACAAACCCCAAAATTCAACTATATTATTACTTATGGTAAAGACGGATAGTGGCTAGCAGTAGAATCCAGGATGCGTATTTCGTGCTATTCGGGACTCATCAGTTGGATGTACCTGCCTCCTAGTGAGTGATGTTATTCCCACCAGGATTTGGACTTGGGAGCGATCACTTCAAACGCCAGAGCCTCATCTACTACACCACCGAGCCACGATAGCCACTTCTTGTGTGACAGGTATAGTTTTAATTGGTTGGATCGAATTGATCACTTTCTATTGGCATATGGGCTCCTATACGGATGCCTCTATATTACCTGTATTATACTTATAGTAAAGATGGATGGTGGCTAGCATTGGTATCATTGATTATTACTTTTTCACTCTGCTTCCCCTAGTCTTTCTTCACTATCGCTGTATTACTTCTAAAGTGATGTATTCCAAGCTAGAAATAAGCATGTTCTAGTGAAAAACTGAAATATGTAAAAAGCTTGGAATTATAAACAGGTGACACGTTTAATAGTATTGAATGGACGATTATATCAGTTGATTGGTTGATAATAGAGTGAAGAGACCATTAAAGAATCAAGTCTACTCTCTATATGATATCTAAAAACTCTTCATTCAATTACATATGACAACATGAATACCTGTTGTTAACAATTGTAATGCTACTTGACTTCTTAGTTATCAACATGAGTTAGATTTGATCTAGGAATATCCTGTACTTTAATGTCTAGATATCAATTAATTTTTGTATCCACATCACGCGTCCAACACTCGAGTGGAACCCAGATGGGAAACGGTGAGTTGGGTGTCTGAGGGTTACAAGGAAGAGGTAATGTGAGGAAGAATTGAGAACTTCTGGGCAGTCGTGGAGCCAGGTTGAAAAGATTAGCAGAGAACAGATTGTACTGGATCATGCAACAAACTGTGAGGAGCGAGAAGGTGGGTATACACTGTTTGACCGGTGAAAGACGAAGACCCTAGTAAATTTGGATTTCGCCCCGATGATGATGATGACAAGAGGTACTGATCACTATGAACGGGAGAAGTCTAAAGGAAGTGGTCTCTTTCACCTACTTAGGCAGAGCAGCATAGTTTCAACTACAGGCGGCACAGGCACACACGAGGATGTCAAAGCCAGCCAGGATCGGAAAGACAGTAAGATAGACTTTCATTGATCTGAAATCAGTGTGGAGATCTGCTGCACTCAGCATGTGGAACAAGATCCGGAGTTTCAACATCAATGTGAAGTCAGTGCTGTTATATGGTTCAGGAACTTAGCTCATCACGAAAAACACTTCCAGCAAACTACAGACATTTATCAACAGCTCCCAAGTACGCTGGCTCGACACTGAAGATCAGATGAGAAGGCCTGAATAATAAGAATAAGCAACAAGGAATTGACTCTGGCAACAAACCAATCAAGCAACCAAGAAGCTATCGCCCAAGAAATATGCAGAAGGAAGTGGAGATGGATTAAGCATGCACTAAGAAGACCATTCGGGGAAATCACATGCCAGGTCAGGCAGTTGAGTGGAACCCAGATAGGAAACGATGAGTTGGGCTTCTTGGCAATCATGAAGCCAAGTTGAAAAGGATTACAGAGAAGAGAGTGGAATAGAGATGTGCTACTGAAAGCCCTATGTTTCACTCAGAAACCAAGGGACAAATAATAGTAATAGTAATAATAATCATAATATAATATACTCAATTCCAGTTTTATTATTATTATTATTATTTTCATTTTCAGGTATACAACATCCTTTAACAGTTAATCAACATCGATTACATTCATCAGGATATCAAATGAATAATCCATTGATAAGTGTAAATCATGATGAAATGGAATTTGATGAAGATGGAATAATACGTCATTTGAATACAATACAACGAATAAAATTAACTGAAGATTTAGGTGTTGTTGAAACTAATATTAATGTATTGAATGATTTATTAGCTGAGTTAAGACCTGATACAGTAACATCTGATGATTTAAACTTGTTAAGGGTAAGTTGAATTTACAAGATGATATTTTTATGTGAACAAGACTATATACTGGGTGATGAATGAAAGGTGGAATGGAAATTTAAACTATGATCGGATTCTCCAACCATCGATTACTAGGTTTCTCGCCTGATACTCTATCAACTAGGCTAAAACGTCCGACTACTTACCAACCTTTCTAAAAGAAAACTATATATGTTGAGCGATAGATTCTACCCTGGTTGGTTCGTTGCCTGCCAGCCAGCCAGCTAGAGTTCATTCTTGCTTATTCTTATTATTCTGCACATCTCATCTGATCTTCAGTATCGAGCAAACGTAGGCAGCAGCTGTTCATCATGTATGTCTTCAGTTTGTTGCAAATGTTGTTCGTAAGGCGCCAAGTCTCTCAACCATCACATAGAAGTAAGCACTGACTTACTTGACTGATATTAGTGTTTAAAATCTGGATGTTGTTCATGCTTTATGCTGACTGCAGTGCAGATTAACTCAGAAAGGTCTGTCTTGCTCTCTTTGTGATCCTGGCTAGCTTTCACGTCATCATCTGCGCCGCCTGCTGCCAGGGTAGATGAAAGAGACTACTTCCGTTACATTTCCCCTAATCATGGTGATTGGTGCATGTTGTTGTTGTTGGTGGTGGTGGTTCGGTATCTTCATCACCTCTGTCTTCTCTACGTTCACCTGTAGATCTTCCAGTATGGGCGACATAAGACAGGCATAAATCATCAGCGAAATCCAAATGCTCTTCTGGGGTCTTTTCATCGAGACAACAGCGTATACCCATCCGTTAACAGATCCTCACAGTTTGTTGCATCATCCAGTCCAGTCCAGTACAGTGCAGTGCACTGCAGTCGACCACAATCACGAAGATCATCGATGATAGTAGGTGGCAGCCTTGTCTTACTCCTACCTGTCTTCACTTCAAACGCATCACTGAGCTCTCCATTGTTATCACGCGGCATGTAACATCACCATCATCATATAGCTGTTGAATGAGGTTCATAAAGGTTTGTATCACTTAAACCGTAGTATTGAAGCAGCTGCCTGCCAAATTATTTCTCAGTCGATGCTGTCCAATGCCTTTCAAACAAAATCGATGAAGTTCAGGTAGAGAGTTGACTTGACTACCATTCTATGCTCGCTTGTATGATGATGATGATGATGATGCGTAGCGTAGCGTGGTGTTTCAATTTGATACGCACATGATTTCTACTTCTTCCTGAAGCCAGCCTTTATACCTATTATAGCTGTAAAACTTGGACAGTGGTAGAATTTCATTCTATGTTAGATCTATTTATTTATTTGATTTATAACACACAGTGGTGATACGTTTTTTTTACTGGATAACGCTTCTACTATAAATTATCACTGTTCACAATTACATCGATGTAATCACACTCGTTTCAATGTCTTATTCTCTTATTCTCTGCCAGCACTCAAGTTTCCTCACACTGCTATCCACCTACCTCACCTCTCATTACCTCCTTATCTTCCTTCACGTCTCCCAATTAACAATACTACATCATCTTTAATTTCGCCTAGTTCTCAAGCCTTTGACAACGATCTGAGTTTACAGAGCAGCATCCTTGGATGGATGGATACCTCTTATTCATTGGTTTCAATTCATAATAAAATCTTCCATATCTCTGGTATAGGTGTTGTGTCACTCTTATCATATTGTGTTGCCTGAGTGTTTATTCGATGAACAAACATTCAGTAATCAATCCCTGTATTCCCTTTTCCATCTGATTATATTTCACTAGAGTAGAGTGGTTTTTCTCCTACCCATCCTATTGTGTAGTTGTTTGTGAGCGTACATTTATTGCGATAGCCAACATTCCGTCTAGATTATTGGCCTTATTCAGGTATATCATTCTACATTTAGCTAAATTTCTGTGTTCCACTATTCTAACTAACCTCGTCTGCCTAGTTTGACCTATTTACTTGACCTGATTCATAGTCATTACATGGAATTTGATGGATTAAATTGTTTTGCCTAATTGGTTCTATCGGATGGTTAAGCCAACAGACAAAGTTTATCTCTGAGTGAGTTTGTAGGTTTAAATACCACTCGAGTTCCAGCTTTGTTGACTATCCTATGTAAAGTTTCTAATGTATCTTCCTAGTAGAGTAACACAATGGAGGCTGTGAACTCCTTTCCACTCATGTTGTCGTCATTATTTGTCCACGTGTTCCTGTTATTCATTCGTTTCCCGTGTGTTAGTACAAATTTTCTAATAAACTGTAGAGGATATTTATTAGCTATCAATGCTTCTTTGATGTGCTTCACTTTCTTGTTTAAGTCCTTACAGAGACTAGTGAATTTACTAGCTCTGTCATTAAGACGCTTGACTAAACCTACCTTCACTGACTGACATTGGATGAGATGACTTGAAGTCGAGATACCTGTTGGAATGTGTCAGTGTTCTGTAGACGGTAGTATCAAAACTACCATCTGTCCTTCATTTTATCCTGCTTACCGTCGTCCGTAGTTCTCCTCGGGCAGTCACATGAGTACGAATTATAATAATGACAAGACAAGTAGAAAGAAGTTCACAGCCTCCTTTGTGTTACACTACTAGGAAGGTACATTAGAAACTTTACATAGGATTGTAAACAAGGTTGGAATTAGGATGGTATTTAAACCTACAAACTCATTCAGAGATAAACTTTGTCTTCTGACTTCAGGATCGGATAGTACCAAGTGGGCAGCATAATCTAATCTATCAAACTGCATGTAGTGACTATGAGTCATGTCAAGTAAATAGGTCGAGCTAGGCGGACAGTGTCAGTGAGATTAGGGGAACATAGAAATTTAGCTAAATGTAGAATGATATACCCAGATAAGGTCAATAATCTAGAACAACAGTCGTCTATTCAGATGCACACACACACACAACCATAGAATCAGATGGATGGGATGAAACCACTGTACTCAAGTCCAATATAAATAGGTGGAGATTGTGAGAGATTAATTACTGAATCTGTGTTCATCGAATCAACTCCCAACCAACATATTTGAAATAGGAATGATGCAAGGCGAATAATATGCCAGATATGTAGGAAACTTTACTATGAATGAAAACAAAGAGTAAGAGGTTACAAGACAATGAAAATCAGATGTTGACAACTTTATGTGATTACATTGATGTGTTTATGAGTATTGATTATCTATGCCCGGAACATCATCAAGTAAACACTACTGTCACTGTGTTTTATAAATCAAATAAACAAATCTAGTATGAAATTAAATTCTAGCTTGTCAAACTTCCAAACAAGTGAGAGCTCAGTCTTTGCAAGAACCGGCATGGAATCAAGCTCCACCCCAAACAAAATATTATGCCGCATCATCTTGAAAAGACTAAAAGATGCGCCGGATTCAAAACCTTGACCAGAATAGGCAGGCCTCATTAAGAACAAACCATGTGCGGATCAAATTGAAACACCACGCTACGCTACGCATCATCATCATCATCATCATACAAGCGAGCATAGAATGGTAGTCAAGTCAACTCTCTACCTGAACTTCATCGATTTTGTTTGAAAGGCATTGGACAGCATCGACTGAGAAATAATTTGGCAGGCAGCTGCTTCAATACTATGGTTTAAGTGATACAAACCTTTATGAACCTCATTCAACAGCTATATGATAATGATGATGTTACATGCCGCGTGATAACAATGGAGAGCTCAGTGATGCGTTTGAAGTGAAGACAGGTAGGAGTAAGACAAGGCTGCCACCTACTATCATCGATGATCTTCGTGATTGTGGTCGACTGCAGTGCACTGGACTGTACTGTACTGGACTGGATGATGCAACAAACTGTGAGGAGCTGTTAACGGATGGGTATACGCTGTTGTCTCGATGAAAGACCCCAGAAGAGCATTTGGATTTCGCTGATGATTTATGCCTGTCTTATGTCGCACACACTGGAAGATCTACTGGTGAAAACTAACAAGTTGACGGAGGAGGGGAGGCATCGAAGACGGTACTTCAGGTGAATGTAGAGAAGACGGAGGTGATGAAGATACCGAACGAGCCAGAGAATCAAAAGCAATCACCATCAGTGGAGAAACGTAAAAGATGTAGTCTCTTTCGCCTGCCTTCCTAACTACCTCCCTAGGTAGTATGGTTTCAAGTACAGGTGGCGCATAGGAGGATATCAAAATGGGTATCGGAGAGGCAGAAAGACAGGTTTTGGTCAGTCTGAAACCAGTGTGGAGATCTACTGTACTCAGCACAAGGAACATGATCCAGATTTTCAACACCAATCCAGTCAAGTCAGTGTTGCCATATGGTTCAGAAACTTGACGCGTCAGGTGAAGCACTTCGAACAAACTGCAGACATTCATCAACATCCTACGCTCGATACTGAAGATGAGATGTCCAGAATAATAAGAATAAGCAGCAAGGAACTGAATGTGCGTACAAACCAACCAGGAACGTATTACAACAGATATGTGGAAGGAGAAAGTGGAGATAGATTGGGCATACACTGAGAAGGCCAAATGGGGATATCACTCACCAGGCTATGCCCTCGAGCTGAATACTAAGAGTAAACTACGAGTTGTGTGCCCGAATTTAATATGAAAGAGACCGTATGAGGAAGAAATGAAATCTGGTGTCAGTCGTGAAGCGAGGTTGAAAAGACTGCAGAGAAGAGAGTGCAAGCGATGCATGATACTGAAGCTCTATGTTCCACTAGGAACCCAAGAGCAAAATAATAAATGATAATGATGCAGTGCCTAATATTTTACACTAATAGTTAGTTCTGACTTATTAGTCAAATGCCTTGCGTGATTACTTAGAAATTTTATCATGCGCCTGGTTTGAATGATATACAGTGAGATGATGTGAAATCCAAGTAACTATTCAAATGTGTTGATTTCCATTTTCTCTCCTTTTCATTTTGGTTTGTTGCTTTGTATTGAATATGGAGTTAACTCTGAATATGTTCCGATTTTGATACGGTCAACGTGTTATCTGCGCATCGCTATCATACTTTTGAGATGAATTTGAATATTCCTATTACTAGTTGTTTTTCATAGGTCCATAAATTTGTAGTAATTATAGATAGTGGCTGTCAGTGGAATCCAGAATGTGCATTTTGTCGTATTTGAAACTCAGGCTTCTATCACCTTCAGTTGTTTTTTTTTTTTTTTTTACCTCTAACAACTATTTGATAAACTGATGTGTTCCATATACCTTCAGTGTATCTTGTTTTTGTAATTCTATATTAAAAGGAATTGAATGATACCTGCCGTGCTATGCATCTGCGTGTTATGGAATTCTTAAGTCAAGTATCTGATGAAGAAGTAACGCCGAGTTTAATTCAAGTCAATGATAATCTAACACATACACTTTCACGGTTAGTTGGAAGTGATATCTTTTCTTTTACGATGTATTGGTAATGTTATTATGATCATTATGATTTTGACTATCTGAGATAGCTGTGAATTTGGCAGACTATTATTGACACTAAGTTAAGATTGAAGGGGCTTCGTAACCTCAGTTAGTAGAGCAATTGGACCGAAAACTTGCTAGTAGAATCAGTCCGCTGTTTAAATTTTCATCCCACCTTCATTCATCACCAGATCGTGGCTATCTCAGTGGAAATGTTAATACAAACTCACATGTATCAATAGTGGGTTTGTTAAAAAGGTGTAATATCGGTACAACATCATATTAGCCTGATATTTGAGAAAGAAAATGACTGTCGACTTGCATTTCTTGATATACTGTTGTGTTGGTGAGAAGATGCATCTATCAGACAATTGATCTATAGAAAGCCTACTTGTAGAGAATAGTGATTGAGTTTCTACAGGTTTTTTTTTTTCTAAGGAAATATAACAGTGATCTAGCGAAGTGTTTATTTGTACATATGATAGAATGTATGATGAGAGTAAATTTGTGACAGATACACTTGAGGAGAAGGGATATGCATTAGAGTTTGTGAATTGTTGTAGAAAACAGGTGACATGGAAGCGTATAATCTGCTCAACGCCGAAGAAGGAAGGATATCTCTGTTAAAGTATAAATAGAGATGGGATGTGAGTAGTGTGACATTGGAGTAGATATTGAAATCAGTAATCAGTAGAGGATACTATACTATACAGGTCATGTTGTGATTGTTGAGACAGGAGAATGCCTTGTTTAGCAGTAGAGTTAGCCTGGTTTAGAATATTATATCACAGCGTAGTGTTACTGGTTGATGATAGAAGAATTGAGTGGGTGGGGTGGTGGTGGTATTCGAACCAGCCACTACAGGTATGTATTCCGACTTGGTGCTGTGGTAATTGAGTTACGATGCCTGATTGTTGACTAGATTTTTATTTCACTTCAATCACTAAGGATTGCTTTGCCTAACTATTATTACTATTAAGGTTTCTATGTTGTTGTCAAATAATTCTACTACTAGGATTTTATTAATGTCAACAGTTATCGGCAAAATCTAACCGCTTGACTTACGTTGCTTTTGAAATTTTCTAAAACCATAAAACCGCATTGAATGTATGGGATTAGCCTAGAGGGGACTGTAATGATGAGTGATTTGGAGCAGCAGTGAACCGTATCACCTAGCTATGCGTAGCTTGCTTAGTTGTCTAAGGATAGCACTCCACTCTGTATGTGTGTCTGTATATGATAGCATTGTTAGTAATGATCATACACAACGCAAAGAGCGTCTTTTTTTTACCTGAGATATAATTATGACCCATTTAATATTATTCAACCGATACTGTCGAATATTTTGTGGAGTTGTGGATTCAAGGTACATTCTAGGTAATACTGTCATGTAGAAATGGTGGTATGCGATATTCTACTGCAATACTTCATTTCGGGTCAGCTTGAATACATTGAAGAGATGAGTGTTATTACCTCACTTGGTTACTAAACAGCGTATTATATAGTGTTTGAAGCTGCTTGCTTCCAGAAACCGATGGCAGTTGAGATGTAGGATCTGTGGTTCAGTTATTTGAGATGACTTTCAACCAACATGTTACAAGTTCGAATCCTGTACCAGTTTCCGAGGTTTGCTCAGTCAGAGAGTATCATCAGTAGGCCTTCATACAATAGGCGTGATTCGGTACCGACTTCATGAATGTGCACCAGATCGCTGAGTGCGTTTTGATTTGTCTCCCAGCGAGATGTATCCACGATGTTAAAAAATGCGAATCATTGTCGTCGCACAAACTCATTTAGACCACTATTGAGACCTTTCCTTCCGGCTTAGGGTGAAATTTATTGGTAGGATTTGAAATGTTCATTTCTAAATAGTAGGAGTTGTTTAAGACATAAAAACACATTGTCTATTGCCAGCTACTGTATCTGCCACCATATACTCTAGGTTGAATCGACGTATGTATTTACCACAAATATAGAGGGAGGCATGAGGTCTGAAATGTGTAGATCAAGGTGTCATGAATAAAATTTAGCAATGCATAACTGATGGTAGAGGCACAGAGACAACAGTGGACATGCTCACACCACTAATGCAAAAGGTTTGGAAGGAAGGAAAGGCACTTGCTGAGTGGAAGAAGGGCTACTTTGTCAAACTCCCAAACAAGTGAGACCGCAGTCTTTACAAGAACCGGCATGGAATCATGCTCCACCCCAAACAAAATATTATGCCGCATCATCTTGAAAAGACTAAAAGATGCGCCGGATTCAAAACCTTGACCAGAATAGGCAGGCCTCAGGAAGAAGTAGAAATCATGTGCGTATCAAATTGAAACACTACACTACACTACGCATCATCATCATCATCATACAACAGAGCATAGAATGGTAGTCAACTCAACTCTTCACCTCAACTTCATCGATTTTGTTTGGAAAGGCATTGGACAGCATCGACTGAGAAATAATTTGGCAGGTAGCTGCTTCAATACTACGGTGTAAGTGATACAAACCTTTATCAACCTCATTCAACAGCTATATGATAATGATGATGATGATGGTGATGTTACATGCTGAGTGATAACAATGGAGAGCTCAGTGATGCGTTTGAAGTGAAGACAGACAGGAGTGAGACAAGGCTGCCACCTACTATCATCGATGATCTTCCTGATTGTGGTCGACTGCAGTGCACTCTACTGGACTGGACTGGATCATGCAGCAAACAACTATGAGGAGTGAGAACATGCTTATACGCTGTTTGACCGATGGAAAGACCGTAGAAGAATTGGATTTGGCTAACGATGGTGATTTGTGTGTTATGTCGCACAAATTCGAGGATCTACGGACAGAAGCCAACAAGTTGACAGAAGAGGCGATGCAGTGAAGACGGGACTTTAGGTGAATGTAGAGAAGACGGAGGTGATGAAGATACCCAAATAACAACAAGCACCAATCACCATGAACGAAGAAAACTTAAAGGGAGTAGTCTCTTTCACCTACCTTAGCAGCATGGTTTCAACTACAGGCGAGACATGCACAGATGGGGATGTCAAAGCCAGCCAGGATGGGAAAGACAGCAAGACAGGCCTTTCTGCATTAATTTGAAATCAGTGTGGAGATCTACTGCACTGCACTCAGCATAAAACGTGAACAACATCCAGATTTCAAACACTAATATCAGTCAAGTAAGTCAGTGCTTACTTCTATTTGATGGTTGAGAGACTTGGCGCCTTACGAACAACATTTGCAACAAACTGAAGACATACATGATGAACAGCTGCTGCCTACGTTTGCTCGATACTGAAGATCAGATGAGATGTGCAGAATAATAAGAGTAAACAAGAATGAACTCTGGCTGGCTGGCTGGCTGACGGGCAAAGAGCCAACCAGGGGAGATCCTATCGCTCAAGAATTATACAGACGAAGAAATTGGAGATGGTTTAGGTATACACTGAGAATACTGTTTGTGGACATCACGGGTCAGACCAGGCTTTCGAGTGGCACGCAAATAGGAAACGACAAGTTGGGCGTCCGAGGCGAGGGTGACATGGCGTAGATGGTGTGAGGAAGAAATGAAAGCTTATGGGCAGTTGTGGAGCCAGGTTCAGAAGACTGCAGAGAAGAGAGTGAAATGGCTATATGCTGCTGAAGCGGTATGTTCGACTAGAAACTCGAAGGACAAATTACCCTAATAATAAAAGCTGATGGCCGGGTGTGACTGCTTGACTTTCACTTTTAGTCTTCAAACTACGTCAATTGGTTATAATTACACCAAAAATCTATACGTCGAAGTTATACCTACATTTATAATCATAATACTCCGCCTTGATTGATACTTCAGTGATGAAGTGTCTGGTAATGACTTCTAAGAAAACGAGTGTGAATTAGATTTGGACCAAATGAAATGTACCTACAATTTAAGAGATTTTATAAACTTCAGTATCAAAATTTAATCTAATAATGTTGAACAAGTTGAGCGTTCGCTAAATAGATTATAAATGAAATAGTATTTGTTGAGAAATCCCAATGAATTCGAATCATAAATGTTTGAGGTTTTGCTACTACGTGGAAATTGCTTCTTCATCATGGACTGATATCAATTGCTGGAACATTGGAAACCTGAGGGCACTGAACACCTGCACACCTATAACTGCCTTCTGGGGCTCGAACTCAGAACCCCCAAATTCCGTGGCTAACATGTGATCATTGAGTCGGAATCCAGTGATCCGTATTTTCAACTTCTATGCGTTCACGAGATAGCGTAACCACCACCCACTGTCATCTTTGAGTATTTGTCTTTATGGCCACCAGGTTTGTGAAATGCCTCAGCTATTGTTGATGAAGTGTCTGGTAATGGCTTTTAGTAAGAAAATGACAGTGAACTGCATATGGATCCAGTGAAATTTACTCATGATTTAAGAGATCGAAGTCAATGTTTAACACAGATATCTTCAGCATACTATCACGTAAGATAACTCGAAGTTAGGCATAATCTGTTAAATTGCCTGAACTAGTATTTCTTTTGTTTCTGGGAGAATAGGTCCATTGGATTTCACTTGCCATTACTCTTAGTTTATATTCTGTCCCACTTTGATGAGTTTTTTCAACGTCTTGATAATGTGAGACTCAAACTTCTCAATAGGATTTATCTTCATTGGTTGATATACATTTTGGTCAATGAGTAAGTCTTCTGGTCATTTGATATAGTCATCCTTATGCACCACTACTGTGGTGAGCTATTTTTCAGCTGGAATTACAGTGATATTCATTTCATTCTTTGGTTTCTTAAGAGCTCTCTGTTCTTTATTGGTTAATTGAGTAGGGTTTTGATTCCACCCGGTCAGAGGTACAACTACTTGTCGTGTTTCCTTTGTTGCTGTTCAAAGTTTAGTCCAGACGTCTTCAGTGATATCTCTAAGCATACGAAGAATTTGGCGTCTGAAGCATCTCTTGCACTAATATTTTAGCCATTAT